GCAACCAGCATCTCACAGTTCTCTCAACGTCTTCATCAGAAGCATAATGATGTCCCCACAGATCTTATTTTATTATCAGGAACAGATGGAAGTCAGATGGTGCTAAATCTGGACAGTATGGAGGATGCCGCACGGTGGTGAGATCCAGTCTCTGAAGTTCTGCTGTGTACCCATCGTGCACAGATCTTCCGATAGCCAAGCAAAGCAATAATGTGACCCGCACATTCTTGTGAAATGCCAATTGAAATTTCTTTCTGAGTGGTACGACAGTCATCCTGAATCAATCTGTCAACCTTTTGCTTGTAAAACTCGGTGGTTGGTGTCACAGGAAATCCAAGTCTTCGTTTGTCACACAAGTCAGATGTTCCCACCTCAGCATCTTTAAACTTACTCGCCCAATGACACACAGGACCCATATCATTATCAACACAATCACATAAACAGTTTGCATTCTCTGATGAATCACCTTTGGGGTGACACCTTCTGCTGTCAAGAATTCAATGACTGCACATTGCTTAAGTCGCATTGACCGACCGTCTATGCAGGGTTCCATACTTTGCACTATAACAACACAACCGTTCAATGCTAAGCCTTCCCACCAAAATGGAACGGTAGAGGAGAGTCTACTGAACAAGGCAGTATCTGCCTCATACCAGTACTGTCATCTGTTGAGGAGTTACAAAGGTGGAAGCATTACTTTTCATTCAACCCTCGTACAAATCTTTAATTGGGCCAGAATTTGCTTCTGGGTGTCCAGATGACATCCAGGGACATCTCTCAACATATCATTTTTAAAGAATCTTTGACATGAAGTCAAATATCTTATGCTGATATCTGTGCATTAATTTATTTGATATCATTAGATTCTCAATTGTTATCCCAGAGAAGAATTTTTAGAAGGATGACTGCTAAATAAGAGAATATGGTCAGGTGCCTTAGCTCATCTAATCTCCACCATTAGAATCATAGAATCAGAGTTGGAAGAGACCTCATGGGCCATCCAGTCCAACCCCCTGCCAAGAAGCAGGAATATTGCATTCAAATCACCCCTGACAGATGGCCATCCAGCCTCTGTTTAAAGCTTCCAAAGAAGGAGCCTCCACCACACTCCGGGGCAGAGAGTTCCACTGCTGAACGGCTCTCACAGTCAGGAAGTTCTTCCTCATGTTCAGATGGAATCTCCTTTCTTGTAGTTAGTACATCTATGGCAAGCATCCTCAGAGGTAGTGAGGTCACACCACATGGTTTGTGGGGGATGGGCGGTTAGGGCTGTTGTTTATAGTGTGTGTGTGTGTATATATATATACACACACACACACACTTATTTAAAAGGTTTCATTGTTTTATCAGGGATGGAATTGTCATTTTATTATAACAAAATGCCTAGGGACTGCAACATTGGGTTACAAACATTACCAATGGGGTAAGAAAAATGATAGAACTCAGCAAGTACACAGGCATCCACAAAAGGTGATTTTATGGAGTGATATAATGAAAGCTGTGCAGCATGTGTGAATGTAAAAGCAGAAGCTTGCTGTAGCATTCTAGAAATTATAGTTCCCATCAGAGTTGCATTTCCACTGTTCAAAAAGCAACTTTGATATTTGCACCCTACAAATTTGCTCCAGAAGAGGTCCATGATGTGGGACGGCTTTCCCTGTTGTTCTGGCAATAAACAATAATTATTATTGATTTTATTGTGATGCTATTTTGTTGTTTATATTTTATTTTTCTGTAACGTAGCACTGGGCTTGGCCTCATGTAAGCCGCTCCAAGTCCCCTTTGGGGAGATGGTGGTGGGGTAATAATAAAGATGATGATGATGATGATGATTATTATTATTATCAGGAAATTGATAGATACATTCTCTTCCTTCATCCTTCCCTCCCTCCCCTCCCTCTTTCTCCCTCCTTCCTTCCTTGCTTTCCACCCTTTAGTTCTTCCTTCCTATACTCTCATCTTCATTCCCCTTCCTTCCCTTTTGTCTTTCCTTCCTTCTCTTTCCTTCCTCCTTACCTCCCTCTTTTCCATCCTTCCCTTCCACCCTTTCATCCATCCATCCTTCCTTCACTTTTGTCTTCCCTTTCTTCCCTCTTCCCTCCCTCCTTCTCCCCCCTCTTTCTCCTTCTTCCTTCCCTCTTTCTCCTTCCTTCTCCTTCCTTCCTCCTCTCCCTCCCTTTCTTCCCTTCTTCTTTCTCCTTCTCTCCCTCCTTCCTTTCCACCCTTTAGTTCTTCCTTCCTTTACTCTCACCTTCTTTCCCCTTCCTTCCCTTTTGTCTTTCCTTCTTTCTCTTTCCTTCCTCCTTACCTCCCTCTTTTTCATTCTCCCCTTCCATCCTTTCCTCCATCCTTCCTTCCCTTTTGTATCTCCTTTCTTCCCTCTTTCTCCCTCCCTCCTTCCTTTCCACCCTTTAGTTCTTCCTTCCTTTACTCTCGACTTCTTTCCCCTTCCTTCCCTTTTGTCTTTCCTTCCTTCCCTTTCCTTCCTCCTTACCTCCTCTTCCATCCTTCCTTTCCACCCTTTCATCCATCCTTTCTTACTTCCCTTTTGTTTTTCCTTCCCTCTTTCTTCAGTCCTTCTCTCTCCCCCTTTCTCCTTCTTCCCTTCCTTCCTTTGGTCCATTCTTCCTTCTCTCTTTCCTTCCTCCTTCCACCCTGTTGACCTTCCTTTCTTCTCTCTTCCCTTCCTCCTTCCCTCCCTCTTTCTCCCTCCCTCCTTCTTTCCTTTCCACCCTTTGGTTCTTCCTTCCTTTACACTCACCTTCTTTCCCCTTCCTTCCCCTTTGTCTTTTCTTCTCTTTCCTTTCTCCTTATATCCCTCCCTTCCATCCTTTTCTTCCACCCTTCCATCCTTTTCTTCCACCCTTTCATCCTTCCTTCCCTCTCTCCCTCTTTCTCATTCTTTCCTTCCCTTTTGTATTTCCTTCCTTCCCTCGTTCCTCACTCCTTCTATCTCTCCCTCTTTCTCCTTCTTCCCTACCTTCCTTTAGTCCATTCTTCCTTCTTTCTTTCTTTCTTTCCTTCCTCCTTCCCTTCCACCCTTTCGTCCTTCCTTCTTTCTTCCCTTCCTCCTTCCCCCACTCCCTTCCTTCCCTCCCTCTTTCTCCCTTCCTCCTTCTTTCCTTTCCACGCTTTAGTTCTTCCTTCCTTTACGCTCACCTTATTTCCCATTCCTTCCCTTTTGCCTTTCCTTCCTTCCCTTCCCTTTCTCCTGGAACCATAGAATCATAGAGTTGGAAGAGACCTCATGGGTCATCCAGTCCAACCCCCTGCAAAGAAGCACGAAAAATGCATTCAAAGCACCCCTAACAGATGGTCATGCAGCCTCTGATTAAGACCTTCCAAAGAAGGAGCCTCCACCACACTCTGGGGCAGAGAGTTCCACTGCTGAATAGCTCTCACAGTCAGGAAGTTCTTCGTAAATCCTTACCTCCCTTCCATCCCTCTTTCTCCTTCCTTCCTTCCTTCCCTTTTGTCTTTCCTTCCATCCTTCCATCACCGGGCAGCCAGACCTTTGATCAGGGAGTGCTAGCATTCGCCCCCCATTCCTGTGTTCCAATATTGTGATTTTATATTGTTCTGATGTGTTTATTTATACTGTTTCTTGTATTTTATCTTATTTTCTTATATTTTATTGTTGTATTTTTATGTTGTATATTTGCATTGTTGTATTGCTGGCTTGGCCTCATGTAAGCCGCCCTTGGGGAGATGGTGGGGGAGTATAAATAAAATTTTATATTATTATTATTATTATTATTATTATTATTATTATTATTATTATTATCTAGGCGGTAGACTCATTTGGAAGACAATTATGCTGGGGAAAGTGGAAGGTAAAAGGATCAATAGGAGCATAGTGTCTAGATCTAGGGAAGTAATGCTACCCCTCTATTCTGCTTTGGTTAGACCACACCTGGAATATTGTGTCCAATTCTGGGCACCACAATTCAAGAGCGATATTGACAAGCTGGAATGTGTCCAGAGGAGGGCGACTAAAATGATCAAGGGTCTGGAGAACAAGCCCTATGAGGAGCGGCTTAAGGAGCTGGGCATGTTTAGCCTGAAGAAGAGAAGGCTGAGAGGAGATATGATAGCCATGTATAAATATGTGAGAGGAAGCCACAGGGAGGAGGGAGCAAGCTTGTTTTCTGCTTCCTTGGAGACTAGGACGCGGAACAATGGCTTCAAACTACAAGAGAGGAGATTCCATCTGAACATGAGGAAGAACTTCCTGACTGTGAGAGCCGTTCAGCAGTGGAACTCTCTGCCCCGGAGTGTGGTGGAGGCGCCTTCTTTGGAAGCTTTTAAGCAGAGGCTGGATGGCCATTTGTCAGGGGTGATTTGAATGCAATATTCCTGCTTCTTGGCAGAATGGGGTTGGACTGGATGGCCCATGAGGTCTCTTCCAACTCTTTGATTCTATGATTCTATGATTCTATGACTGCACTGACCTTGAAGGAGCTGGGGGTGGTGACGGCCGACAGGGAGCTCTGGCGTGGGCTGGTCCATGAGGTCACGACTGAACGAATGAACAACAACAACAGACTCCTTTGGATGCAGCCCAAAATCCTATTGGCTTTTAAAGCTGCAGCGTGGCATTGTTGTCTCATGTTCAACTTGTTGTCCACGAAGATCCCAAGATCCCTTTTCCCATGGACTGTGCTTGTCCTGCATGGCAGGGGGTTGGACTAGATGGCCCAAGTGGTCTCTTCCAACTCTAGGATTGCATGACTGGTGTGGATCCAGGCTTCACTCCTCCTGTGCAATTCATTTTGCCTGCCCAAGTGCAGTATCCTGCCTAGGAAGTCCTTGCACAGGGACCCCCCTCAACCTGGGCTGGTGGGGCCTTTCTCCAAAGAAGGGGGGCTGCCCCCTCCTTCCCTCTTTCCCTCCCCTCCTTCCCTCCCTAACCGGAGAAGCCCCAGGCGGCGTGGGCGTGGGCGAGGGAGGCCGCCGGGATCCTCCTCCTACCTGCCGCGCCAGGTCGCAAGGGACGTGGTGTTACCTGCGGAGGCAGAACAGGGAGCAGCGCCGAGGCAGAGGCCAGCCAAGCAGGCAGCCAGGCAGGCAGGCAGGGAGGGAGGCAGGAGAGCCGCGCCTTCTCCCTCCACCTTCGCGCCGCGGTTGCCGGGGTCTCCCCTGCCCCAGGAGCCGGCCCGGCCGGGGAGGCTCGGCGGGGCTCCCCGCGTGCGTGGATGTAATCGGCAGAGGAGCCCCGTGGCTTGGCCCCGGCCCCTTTCATGTTATGCGGCTCCCTCCCTGCCCTCCTAGATCATGCACAGAAACTCCCGAAAGTGGATTTTCTACGTGTTTCTCTGCTTCGGAGTCATTTATGTCAAGTTGGGGTGAGTAGTACCAGCTGGGGGCAGAAGGGGAGGAGGAGGGCTTTGCGAAAAGAGGGAAAAGAGCCTGGCTGGGAACGCCGCCTCGCATCGATCAGCCTAGGGACGGGTCGATTTCTCTCTCTCTCTCTCTTCGCCCCTCTCAAAGCGGAGAGGCGCTGGTCACGTGACGCGCGGGCGCTGCGGGGAGGGGAGGGGAGGGGGGAGGCCGAGAGCGTGCGCGCGCCCCGCGGGGGTATTTTGGCGCCTCCTTTCTCAGTCCAAAAGCTGCAGGAGAGCGAAAGGGAAGTATTAAAAGGCTGTATTAAAAGGCATATTGCAATAGGGCCAGTGCCCAGTTAGGAGCAAGCTAGGGTCTGTCGGTGTGTTCTTAAGCTGAATTTGTATGTAAGTCGGAACAGGTGTGTTTTTGAAGTGTAACTGCAGTCATACACACACACCTATAGATATGACTGTATATATATATATATATATAGCTCGCGCGCACGCACATAATATATACATACACACACAGATACGCATATGACTGTATATATATATATATATATATATATATATACACACACACATAATCACTCACACACATATTTATATAATACACACACGTAAATATGACTGAATATATATATATATATATATACACACACACACACACACATACACACACATACAAATACATACACATGACTGGATATATACATTTATATATATACAGACACATTATATATATATATTACAAACATATATGACTGGATACACACACACACGCATATATATATACACACACACATACACACAAATGACTGGATATATTTTATGCACACACACATAACACACACATATATGACACATATAATATATACATGCATACATATGACTGGATATATTTTTATACACACACATATATGACACACACATAATATATGCATACATACATATGACTGGATATATTTTTATACACACACCTATATGACACACACATATAATATATGCATACACACATATGACTGGATATATTTTTAGACACACACATATATGACACACACATAATATATGCATACACACATATGACTGGATACATTTTTAATACACACACATGTATATGACACACACATATAATATATGCATACACACATATGACTGGATATTTTTATACACACATATATGACACACACATAATATATGCATACACACATATGACTGGATACATTTTATACACACATATATGACACACACATATAATATATGCATACACACATATGACTTGATATATTTTATATACACATATATGACACACACATATATATGCATACACACATATGACTAGATATATTTTTATACACACACACACATATATAATACACGCACATATATATGACTGGATGCACACACACACTTTAGATAGTATAGGGAAGAGTTAACACCCCTGTGGCGCTTGTTTTGCTGCTCAGAAAGATTTCACCTCACTTTCTGCCCTTGTCTGTGAGAACTGGATTCTGTACAATTTGCCTTGTGGAAACAAGAACTGGGGAGAAAGCTTCAGTGGAGACCCCTTTCCCCCGTAATAATAACTCTTTCAGGAGTGATTTCCCCTTCCTAGGGGTAGATTTTCCTCACTAGTTGTTGTGTCACCCTTGGGAAGGGCCCCTTATAACTAGGGGCCCTTCCACACGGCCACCTATCCCAGAATATGAAGGCAGAAAATCCCACATTATCTGCTTTTAACTGGGAGATATGGCAGTATGGACTCAGATATCCCAGTTCAAAGCAGATACTGTGGGTTATTCTGCCTCGATATTCTGAGTTATATGGCTGTGTAGAAGGGCCCTGGGTTATCTGAGTCCACACTGCCATATATTCCAGTTCACAGCAGAAAATGTGGGATTTTGTTCAGCTGTGTGGAAGGGGGCTATGTGTCGTTTATAAGTAGGGTGTTTGTCACTGGGGGGGGGGGCTGCCTGTGCGGAGGAGAGGGGAGAGTTGCAAAGCCCGGGTCGGTGGGCGCAGCTGGAGAAGGAAGCGGGCGCGAGGCAGCCCGAAGGGGGGGGAAGCGCGGGCTCTTCTTGTCTGAGGTAAATCTCCTCAGACGCTCGGCTCTGTTCCGAGAGAGAAGGGGCGAAAAGAGAAAAGGCCACACTCCGGGAGGCTAAGCCCGCTTCGCTCTATGCTCTACGCCCGCCGCCGCAGCGAGTGGTCTGGCCGCATTCCTTCGCTCCCGCCGAGTCCTTACCTGCCGGGCCTGGCGCGCCCCGAGCCCTGCCTGCCTGCCTCCCGCCTCCTCCTCCTCTCTCCCCCCCCCCTACTTCTCTCGCCCTTCCCTTCCCGTCGCCCTTTCGCCAAGGCTAAAGAAGGACCTCCCGGGGTTCCCTATCGTAGAGACAGAGCAATTTAAGTGGTGTCCAACCGCACGAATCTGGCAGTGCAGATGCTTAGGTGGGAATCGGATCCAGGGCTCTCTGAATCGAGGATGGAAAGCACCCCCATCCTTAGAATGGCCTCTTCGTCGTGGCCAGTGTATCCGAGCTGACGAGATTCTGCGTTTTTCCCGCCCAAAACGAAAATCTTCTGGCGTCAACGCCTTCTATATTCGACGGGATCCTCTCAGCTTTGATCCCTATCACCTCAGCTGGAATCTCTTTGGTTAAAGAGCTTGGCACCTAGTGATCCCGGTCTCTGTGTCCCTGGTTGAGGGAGTCGCACTAGCGAAGGAGGTTGTTGTCACTCCGCGCGCCCTCACTTCGAAGTCAGACCCTGAGGTGAATCTCCTCAGACTCTGAGGTGAATCTCCTCAGACTGGGGTGAATCTCCTCAGACCTTCGGCTCTGTTCCGAGAGAGAGAGAGAAGGGGCGAAGTAAGTGAGGCCGAGCTGAAAAGGGCTGCAAGGGCCCATCTGTGAGGATCTCCTCAGACTCTGAGGTGAATCTCCTCAGACCTTCGGCTCTGTTCCGAGAGAGACATGAGAGTGTCAATATTTTAAATATTTAAATATTTTAAAATATTTAAATTTGTTGTTCATTCGTTCATTTCCGACTCTTCGTGACCTCATGGACGAGCCCACGCCAGAGCTCCCTGTCGGCCGTCACCACCCCCAACTCCTTCAGGGTCAATCCAGTCATTTCAAGGATGCCATCCATCCATCTTGCCCTTGGTCGCCCCCTCTTCCTTTTTCCTTCCATTTTCCCCAGAGTCATTGTCTTTTCTAAGCTTTCCTTTCTTCTGATTATGTGGCCAAAGTACTTCATCTTGGCCTCTACTTAAGGGTATTTTAATACCCTTAAGAAATGGGGCAGCAAAGTGGAGCCCACGACATGCGAGTGTGGAGGAGAGCAAATCACATACAATAATGCGGCCTGAGCCCTGCCACATGCACATGTTTCTAACTTGGTTTGTGTGTTTTTAAAATACATTCTAACTGTATTATCAATTTGCTTCTGACAGGGTAAAATATTAAAACAGAATCAAATATAAACAGTATTAAAAGATTCACAATTCAAGCAGTTCAAACCTATTTGATGCATATTCAAAGCTAAAACCACAGCAGCCTCTGGATTGAGCTGTAAAACCTTCCTCTTTCAAAGCCTGCTTGAATAGAAAGCCTGCTGCGGGAAGGACAGCACGGAGGGGGCCACGCTGGCTTCACTGGGAAAAAGGGAGTTCCAGAGCCCAGGGGCAGCCACCCACAAGGAAGGCCCTCTCGCCATCTCAGGACCTGGGCAGGTCCTGCAAGAAATGCGGTTGGCCAAATAACCTGGACATAGGATTTTATTCCTTCAGTCCTTCCAACTCTTGCTTTTCTTGACCTCATGGACCAGCCCACGCCAGAGCTCCCTGTCGGCCGTCACCACCCCCAGCTCCTTCAGAGTCACGCCAGTCACATCAAGGATGCCAACCAAGGGCAAGATGGATGGATGGTATCCCTGAAGTGACTGACTCGACCTCGAAGGAGCTGGGGATGGTGACGGCCAACAAGGAGCTCTGGCGTGGGCTGGTCCATGAGGTCATGGAAACGAATGAACAACAACTTGCAGAAGGCCACCAGAGATGGGGCCCTCCTGGTCTCTCTTGGGAGAGAGTTCCACAGTCTGGAAGCATTCTGATAGGACTGCTTGCACCTGGGGTGAGGGGTGGACATTGAAAGGTGCCACTTCTTGTGGCCTAGGAGTTTAGACTTTGACTGGTTCCAGCCATGAAATCAGTTCAAAAGGGAATATCAAGACTTCCCCTTTCCCAATAGATCCTTTGGCCTGGCCTCAGCAGGAATAGCCTAGGGAAGCCATCTCTTGCCTGAACTGGGGTGGCCCATATATTTAGGCAGATCATTGCATGAATGAATGGTGTTGTTGTCTGTCTTTCTGATTTATGGCGGCCTTAAGGAGGACCTGTCCTGTTTTTTTCATGGTAAGATGTGTTGCCTTCCTCTGGGAGAGTGTGCCTTACCCAAAGATGGCTTCCATGGCTGAGCAGGGATATGAACCCTAGGTTTGTTTGTTTACTTTTGTTTATCCCAACAAAATAACAAAAAAGGAGGAGAGGCCAAGACAATTATACTGGCCAACATGCAAATTTGGTGCCTCAGATATACCCTTGTTTCTGTGACCTGCTGGTTCCAAAAATTGCACCATTTCCCCTCTCAGCTCTAGTTTTTGAGATACAGGTCATAGGTCATCTTCCAGTCGCCATCCCATAGAAAAACATTATAACTATATCTAAGAAAGTAGAGATGATTTGGCCTATCCAATGTAATTTTCTGAATCAGTTTCCCCAATAATCCCAGGCCCTAGAAGCAGTTCACAATATCTAAAACAGTGGCTCCCAGGGTGGACCCAGATGTTGCTTGACTTCTACCTCTATCCCAGGGCTTCTTAAATTTTTCCACTCAGGACCCCTTTTCCCTTAGAGTATATCTATAGCTATATAAATAAAAATGTAATGTTCGTTTGTGGGATTAACAGAACTCAAAAACCACTGGATGAATTGACACCAAATTTGGACACAAGACACC